TGCGTGCGGCTTCTGCCGGTTTTGCGGGAGGTGGTGGAATCCCCCCACCTCCCAGGAAAGCCAGAAGAAGCCGTGCAGCCCTTTTAAAGTGCGCGCGGCTTCTGCCGGTTTTGCGGGAGGTGGGGGAATTCCCCCACCTCCCAGAAAAGCCAGGAAAGCCCTGCGCAGCGTCTCCCGGCAAGGAGAGGCTGCGCGGGGCTAAAGGGGAAGGCAAAACAGCGAGCGGGATCCTTCCTTCTCGCTGCCTTGCCTTCTTCCATAGCTGCGCGTAACCCCTCCGCAAGGAGACGCTGCACGCGGCTAAAGGGGAAGGCAAAACAGCGAGCGGGATCCATCCTGCTCGCTGCCTTGCCTTCTTCCATAGCTGCGCGCAACCCCTCCACAAGGAGACGCTGCGCGCGGCTAAAGGGGAAGGCAAAACAGCGAGCGGGATCCATCCCGCTCGCTGCCTTGCCTTCTTCCATAGCTGCGCGCAACCCCTCCGCAAGGAGACGCTGCGCGCGGCTAAAGGGGAAGGCAAAACAGAGCGGGATCCATCCCCCTCACTGCCTTGCCTTCTTCCATAGCTGCGCGCAACCCCCCGCAAGGAGAGGCTGCACAGGGCTATGGCTTCTTTAGCCCTGCGCAGCGTCTCTCGGCAAGGAGAGGCTGCATGGGGCTAAAGGGGAAGCCAAAACTTGGCTTGCTCCATAGCTGCGCGCAACCCCTCTGGCAGGGAGAGGTTGTGCGCACCCTGTACACTGCTCTTTGGGGCTGGGGGGGAAAAAGATTTTTTTCTTGATTTCCCCCCCTAAAAACTGGGTGCGCCCTATGGTCCGGTGCGCCCTATGGTGCGAAAAATACGGTAAATGGGAAGTGAGCCGTGGATAAACCACCCATGTTGGTTAAGCATAGAATATCAGCATTATAAACTACCACCTACCCTATACAAGTTTAGCAATCAAATTTCCAAGGAACTATGGCAAATGAGGTTAAAAACAAATGTTTTCAAGTATTTTTTTTAATGCGAAATGTGTGGCCCGTATTACTTTCTTTAGAAAAATATTTACATAGGCAATTATACAAAACATATCAGAAGCCCCTTTTCAGCTCAACACACCCTTTCATCATACACAGAGAAACAGCACACATCCCTGGGAACACACTAAGGTCAAACATTCCTGCCTTGTTAATCATTAATCTGAGGAGCTGCGGATCAAGTTGCCTTTGACAAGGTTTCCTAAAGGCTTATTATAGTTTACACAGACAGAATGCCGAGCACAGTAACCCATGCATCCCACAACACGAGTCAAGACAAGAGTCAGAAAAGCTAATATTGCCCCCCTATATTTCAGATGTGGCACAGGAATGGTAAATTTCTAATAAAATAAAAACTACTTCACACAATCCAATTATTTACTACCTGCAGAGCAGTTTAGAACAGAAGCAGCACCTAGGCATTTTTACTGCATTCATCTTTACAGAAGTTTGTTGCTCACTAATATATTACTATTAGTCCCTGGAACTATAGAGTGAAACTGATTTGGCCTAGGGCTACCCAGCAAGTTCATGGGTAAATAGGGATTAACCAAGTTCAACTCTAATCCTCCTCTTCTCCTTGCCAGCAGCAATTAAATTTCCTGGAATGACACTTTAAAATTGGATTCGGGGTGGAGGGCCAACCCTGACATCCAGCTCCCCCCTCACACACACAAAGTGGCCTCCCTGCCAGCCCTGACGCTACTCATCCCTGGGCAATGGGCAAATCTGTCAACTTCAGTTCTCTACGTGTTTCGCTTTTCCAATCTTAAATTTACTTCACCACATTTCTGCAGCAATTTGCTATTCTTCTTAATCCTCAAGAAAGCTTTTCACCCTTTTTGTACGACTTTCTTCTGGTAAACACATTTCTGTATGCAGTTTTGACTAATACACACATTTTTGCAAGCACGTTCCAGTATAATGATTTCTTACATGTTGCTTTTGCTAATATATGCACTGTTATTATGCACATTTCCCCTTAAAATAAGGTGAGTGCAAACAAGCCAACTTCACACCATAGCTTGTGGGTCACAGCTTGTCAAGCACAATGGTTGGAAGACGTAACATGCCTTACCACTTTCTAGCAATTCCAAAATTACAACATATTCTCCCCTTCACCCCGATTCCAACATAGGGCAGGATGTCATTTTCGCTGAGCCAAAAGAACTTTCTTAAGCAAGGTCAAAACTTGCATTTATGGAGGAAATTAGGAGGAAATTGAAGAAGATAGAATAAAGCTTTGAGTTCTGGCAGACATCCAGTTCTGTTCGTTTTATCCCATTAAAAAAAAAAAAGTAGAATGGGAGAATGCCCTCAGGTGGCCTTATCCATTATTCCAAGCAAGAGGTTGCCCAGTGACCTCACAATTTTACCAGATGCGTTCTGCCTGCATGGCACTAGAACCCTAACTTTAGCACAGAGGACTGCGCTGACAGTTGCCTAGTTAAAATACAGTGGTACCTTGGGTTACAAACACCTCAGATTACAAACACTTCAGGTTACAGACTCCACTACCCTGGAAGTTGTGCCTCGAGTTAAGAACTTTACCTCAGGATGAGAACAGAAATTGTGTGGCAGGAGGCCCCATTAGCTAAAGTGGTACCTCAGGTTAAGAGCGGTTTCAGGTTAAGAACAGACCTCCGGAACGAATTAAGTTCGTAACCAGAGGTACCACTGTATCCTTCCTTAGCACCCTTTTCAAAAGCTTATGATACTTGCAACTGTATAATTGAGGAGGCGGTATTTAGGTCAGTTGCTTCAAACATAACACAGCTGATTTGTTACAAGTCACCTAATCTCCCCCTCCCCTCCCCCTAGTTTACCAAGGACAAATTATTTCTGTTTTGCCCCCTTCCCACCCCACCCCTTTCTGAAACATGAGCTCATTTTATAAAAGGAGTCAAAAAGCTCTGCCCATTTTAAGAAAAAATACACTCAAATACAAGAAGTGTTACATAATGAATGGAATGTAGCCGAGTAAGGGAAAAAAGAGTGACAGAGAATTCTTTCCCACCATTCTTACAGATGAAACTCTATATACGTCTGGCACTGGTTCACAGCATTTGAACAAACACATAGCCCAAGTGTATCCCTGTCATAAACTGTATCCAACACAATATTGCTAACGCTAGAGGAATTAAAGAGGGAGCAGAGAAGGATAACTAGAGAGCCATGGGTTCCCCCTATAGTATACCGTATGTACTGTACCTATAGTCTCCAAAGGCAGGGAGCAGCCATAGGCATAACTGCATCCTTATCAAGCCCTTGGGAGCCCTCCTGCTCTTCTCTATATCTATGCCATTGTCAGACAGTGTCTGGCCACCCACAGCCTAGCTCATCTTCAAACAGAGAGTTGAACATTGCCATATTGGCCCCATCAGAACATTGCCATATTGGCCCCATCGTTTTTCTGCTGAGCATCAGCAATCACAGCCATTGCTCTACAGCCGTACCTTGGTTCTTCAACAGAATGCATTCCAGGAATCCGTTTGACTCCCAAGCCGTTCAAAAACCAAGGCGCGGCTTCCGACTGGCTGCAGGAGCATCCTGCAGCCAATCGGAAGCCGCGCCGGACATTTGGCTTCCGAAAATCGTTCGAAAACTGGAACACTCACTTCCAGTTTTCGATCATTCAGGAGCTGAAACGTATGAGTTTCAAGGCATTCGGCAACCAAGGTATGACTGTACTTGCATTTTTTAAAAATAAAATAAAATACAGCAGATACATCATGACTGCAATGATGGGTTTATAAGTGTACAGGAAAGCTTGGAGTGCAGAGATGGGGCTAAAAGGATGCAGGAAATACCCCTATAAGCTGTACATTGTCCCTTGTTATTTCTCATAACCAATATTTCCAGTAGGTCTCATTTGCTTTTGTTTATTAAAATATTTCTGAAAAGCATTCTGTGCCAATAACCGCTTACATGGATGAGCTAAGGACAGGGGCTGCGTGCATAGGTGGGCAGCGTATGTGAGTGAGAATATGGGGTGGCCGCACTTAGCTATGGCATGCAGCTCTTGAAGGTTGGGCCGAGGGGGCTTGTGGTTCTTACCATGAAAGGTAAGTCATCCCTGCTTTAAGGCTCTAGAAAGTTTAGGGCTATAAACCAGTAGTCATCGCCAGCCATTTCCCTGAGTCTAGAAGCATACAGGGAAGCAGCACAGGTGAGCTTAAATTGGGATTACATGCTCTCTGCAATTCGTCACTACCCCACCTATACAGGGATGAGTGACAGCATTCTGCACAAGCTGCAGCTTCCAAGAGTATTCATAGGCTCCTCCTCATAAAGTCCACATAAAAAGCTTGGCTGTAGACAAAAACAGAAGGCTGCCTAAGCATGGGCACCAGTGCTGAATATTGTCTGAGAAGCTATGCTACAGCAGCTCACCAGTCTAAGGACCAGCAGCCCCAGCCACTGGAGAATCGGGCAGGAACACAGGATCCAGGAGCACCTCTGAGATGCCAAACCTCATCTATAGAGAAGGGTGTGGCTGACTTCATTTAAGACAGGCAAACCTGTTTGGCTCATTTTCTCCACTTCTTGGTCTTGGCTCAATTTTCACAACTTTTTGGGTTTTTTGGTTCGGTCTCAATTAAACATCAACATGTTAAGCTTCATTCAGTCTCAAATCATATTCAGGCATTCACTCCAGGAACCCACTGCAAAGGCTCCCCTAGTCTGAAATATTCACATCAACAGTACCAGTTCAGAATGGTGTCACCACTTAAACAGCTGCCCTACGCATAACTGCAAACTGTATTTTTTTTTTTTTTTTGGTATCAGCTTCACTTGACTACTGCTAAAAGAGACATGAGGCCAGGATACTGGTCTGCCGTTTTACTCAACTTTACCTGGTTCACTCTTGATACAATCTGCAGTAGAGCTGAGGAGCTGCAGTTATCTCCCTTTTGACAAATAATTCCATTAGCCAAAGTGAGAAAAACGCAAGAGGATTTCAACACCCTATGTTTACTGACCAGTGCGCAGAGGAGATCCACGGCCTCTAAAACGAGCTCCTGGTGTCCAATCCGGGTGATACCCAACTCTTCAAGATCCTGGTGAGAAATCTGTAATAGCTGAGCACCATTTATCTTCTCGCGTTCAAATTTTTGGACATACTGCTGCAGGCAATCATCCAACCCTAAATAAGGAAGAGAAGTGTTGTAATTATATTGCTTTTATTTTTAAAAACCCACCAAATATCCAACACGTCTATTCTCTAGCTTAGTTATGTTAATTGAAATGTTAATTGAAATGCTGAAAAAATACACTCCCAGATCGCATGCCCTCTTCATCCATCATGATAAATGCTCTTTTGCCCTGGCCACAAGCCCAGTAGGGCTTAGGAAATAGCATTTCCTCTATTCCCCAACCCCAACAGCACTGCTCTGACTAGTAGCAATCCCTTGCACATTTACATGAGAGTAATCACATTCACTGTAATGGGATTTGCTTCTGAGTAAATCTGCAAAGGGTAGCGCGGCAGGTGCTATCCAGTGCATCGCATTACGCCAAAAGGTAAAAAAAGCGGTTTAGTCATGCATTACGCCTAACTCTAACTCTCCACAAATAATCCTCTCTTCATCCTCCAACTTAATCACTCTTGCAATCCACCTCCAACCTCTCAGCTCACTTCTCACTAGGCCATTCTCCAGCATCACAACAGGACTTTGCAGACAAAAGGTACTGTGACCCTCCTGCTTGTCCTGTGCTGCAGTGCTATGATGCCATGGAGAATCTGCATAACCAAATGCTGAAGGAGACTGCAAAAAATGAACATCTGATTTTACAAAGCTCACAAGCAATACACGTTTAACCACTTCATCACTGCCAGCACAGTGTACACTTTCAAAATGTTACCTTGTTAGTGCCAAAACATAGATCAGCAGATATCATCTACTTTTTTAAAAGAAAGCCTGTGTTGTTGTATACTCCCTATTGCAGATTTGTGAACAGAAATACTTTGTAGAGACTTGCACCCCTTCCATTTCCTCAATATCTCCAAGCAGGGTTGGGAAAGGCCAGTATCTGAAACTCTGGAAAGCTGCAGCTAGAATATAGTGCCTTAAATGAACCAGCAGTCTGATCTGGCACCTCTTCTGGGCAAGTACCCTTTTTGGCAATGAATTTCTAAAATGGTCTTAGTTTCCCTGCATAGGGGACAGAGTGGGGGAAGGAAGGATGGAGGGCTGTGGAGTATACTGGGTGAGCGAACCCTTCCTAAAAAAAGCTCCTGATCATTTCGGACCTTTGGCATGTAAAGCATGTGTTCTACTAATGAGCTGCATTTACCCACCCACCCCATTCATGCCAATTTCCAGTCTCCGACATGAATGAGGCAATTCTGAATAACAAATTCAGAGCCCTATTTAGAAGAAATCACAAACTTGGGTCCAAGCCACAGCTATTGGCTCCAAGTAGAACTTAAGTATCTACTCATGCGGTTGTAAGAGATATCACTGTATCTGGAACACACCGAAATGCTAAGGGAAACAATGCAAGGCGTTATTAATCCGCTAGTCAAATGTGAAAAAGCTTCTTTGTTTGGGTAAATTCCTCTGCAGGACAGCAATCAGATAATCAGAACTGGGGCACGTAACAAAGAAACTCACAACAGATCAGTTTAGCAGAAACAACTTAAATTCTTAGGCAAGTTGTGCAATATGCTGAAGGCATTACTACCAGGCAGATGGCAGACTTTCAGTACTAGGGGTATCTTTTCCTTTACAACTTCACCAAGCAGATGCTTCACACTGAGGGTAGGGGTGGAAAATGGGTGGGAGTGTGGAGACATCATATCTCATGCCAAGTTTCATCCACTTGCAACCCCAATTTAAACACTACATGTTGTAAAAAAGTCAGTTGCGGCTCCCCCGTTTCTGTCAAAGACACCACAGAATGCTAACGTTCCTGATGAACAAGTAACATAACCATTTCTTGGCAGTGTTAGGGAAAATTACAAGCCTCCATCCAAAAAAGCCGACTTTCCTAGCCACCCACAAGATTACATCCTTGCGCTGTAGATTAATTAAACTCAGAATACTACTGCTTCCAGGCTTATACTTAAGTCACTAAACTGGATTAGAACCATCACTTTTCATATAAAAGCTACATCAAAAGAGTGGAGAGAGAAAAACGTCAGTTTTAAACCGTTCATAATTACTGCTTTACATACACAGTCAAATTAAGTTAGGGGAACTCAATTATTCCCCAATCCAGTTATGCGCTCTGAGGCACATTCCCTCCAGTTAAATGAATCGGGGCCAATGGGCAAGAAATCGACTTGCGCACCTGAAAATGCATCAAGTGATCTTGGCTTCCAAGGCTTTGGGTTAGCTACTCCTGCTTGCAGTTCCCCCCCCCCCCTTACTCCCACCGTATTGTGCGAACTCTAACATATCTCCAAACTGCTGAAAGGCATCCTGGTGCAACATACACATCCATCTCTGATATCCAACTTGGACTGACACAATGAGGCAATTTGGTTTGAAATGAGCCCAATAACCTTTGAAGTCTTGATGAGGCATGACTATATGTGAACAGTCTTCTCCAATCTGGTACCCTCCAGATGTTTTTGACTGCAACTCCCTTCAACCCCCAGCCAGCATGGGCACCAGGTTGGGGAAGACTGCCTGGGAAGAACAAAGTGGGAAGAAAATGAGATAATGATATCACTTTAGATTAGGGTTTCCGTATGTTATCTTTGGTTGGAGCCGCTGCATTGTTTCCATTCTTCTGGACAGAGCATGTCTTGTAAATTCTGACCTTTAAGTTATACTTTTAAAATGTATGAGTACATGTAAATAAAATCTGGAAAGAACAATAGAAAGCTGCATTGCCATTTGAGTTTCAACTACAGATTTGAACAACAACAAGGGCTACGATGCAAAGGCCTGCCAAAGGGTTTGCCTATCACAACCAAACCTTCGTAGAAAAGGAGCTTTCTAGACAGTATAACAAATTGGCTTGGAAACACCCCTGAGTTGCGATCGGCTTAAATGGTGATTTTGGGTGGTGGTGGTAGAGGAGCCACCCACATAAATCCCAAGTAACTCTAACTACACAAGACTAAGTTGCACAACTGTGTGCATTGTGGCTGTCCACCAGAAGTTATCCAAGGCAATTATGTCAGATGAGAGCCAGTCATGCAATTTTTCGTCCTGTGAAAAGGCTGAGCATCAGCAATAAAATTACACTATCCTGAATACAATCCTGATAAGTCTGCAATGCTGCTTGACAAATCTTCAAAGCAAAATTGCTTATGCAAGATTCAGGCTAATCCATACTGGGCTATCCTAAGGTTATTTACAATGATATGGATGCCAATATAATACTTCTTCCCTGTTCTCTTTTTTTGCAGAAATCGTTAAACCATTGTTATCAGCTGTCTTTCCTAACGTTTTTACGCAAGTGGAAGATGGTTTGTAGGACAGTGAGGGAGAAAAGTGAAACACATTGTAAGCAAAGTCTTATTGTTTGTTTTAAAAATAAAAATGAAAGCTAACGCAAAATGCTAAAACAATAAAGCACAGCTACACAATTAGAAACCGATGGAACAAAAAGCAACCAAATTAAAAACGGAAAATGATACCAACTGGAATTTTAAAAAGAAACAGTTTTGCAATAAATTCCCAAAAACCTAGCAAATCAAAAGCCAATCAAAAGCCGACTTCTCAAAAAGTTTAATCTTGGCATCTGAAGCATTCCATGTTAAAGTCTGTGGGGTTTCACTGGGCTGAACATTCCAGAAAGATCTCACCACCACTGAGGCGGCCCCTCTCCTTGATGGATGAAGCAGCACCTCAGCTATTTAAAAAGTAGGCCTCACAAGAGCAGGCAAGAGAAAGTCCTACATGCTACCTATTTCTTCCTTGGTATCACAGAACTCATTTCAGCTCCACCTTGTCATCATTTCAGTGATAACGTTATGAAGAAGAGCAGCAGAAAGAAAAATACAACTGTAAAATGCCACACAATGGAGCTGAAGAATGTTGGACTGTGTCATCAACTGCACCCAAATGCAACAATTTAAAGTATACGCCCACCAGGATTGCCTACCGAGTTCAGTGACGTTCTATTGGTACAGATGTGGTAGATCCAATTTTCAACATACAGTCAACCACAGCAAAGACAGTTCCAACTTATAATCAGCTGGATAGCTCAGCGGGTTAGAGTGTGGTGCTGATGATGCCATGGTTGCAAGTTTGATCCCCATACGGGGCAGCTGCATATTCCTGCATTGCAGGCAGTTGGACCTGATGATCCCCAGGGTCCCTACCAACTCTACAATGCTATGATTCTATGCACAGGATCTGTGAAAGTACAGTGGCAGCAGCTGCTTCTTTTCTCTGTAGCACCCAGCAGCAATAAATACCATAGTCAGCATGGTCCCTGCAAGGCTAGTGGATCTCAAGCGCATATCCCTGTGTGCTTTGCCCTTCCAGAAAGGACTGTGCCCATCCAACCACTCTTGTCGCAGAAGAGATAATAGAGAAATGGAGGTTACTGTGTCGCTGGTCCCATTTCAAGCTTAATACAAGCCCCACAGCCATCAGAGTGGGACCAAGAATTAGTTGGGGAGGAGCATCTGGGCACCAGGAACAGGCTCTGGGCATGCTAACTATAAACACCTCCAAGCTTCAGTTCATATGATGAGCTTTCAGGAGTTCAAAATCAGCAGCACGTGTTTCAGGCCCATTTCGCCAGCCCACCGCATTTGTCTGAAATGTAATCTTTCCACACATTAGCCAGCGCTATTAACCAGACTTGAACAAACAAACTGGAAACAAAAGTGTGTTCGCGGATTTGCTGCAGACACCTGGCATTTCAAGTTTCAACAAAAACCAGATACAAAGGCTGGCTTGGTTCAGCAATTGGATGCAGCATCAAATGGAACTAAAGAAACACCTGCCCTATGGAGGCAAGTCTAGGCAGACCTCATGCCACCACAAAACCACCTTGGTGGGTTTTATTGAGGGGGAATATCTATTTAAGGCTGACGTGCAACCTTGATCCGCCCCTGCAACTGATGGCTGTAATTGTTAGAACCCAAACTGGAAGCCTGCATTTTTCACACTTCCTTTAAAGATGCTATATACATGATGGGGGACGTAAGCAGAGTACCTGCCTGAAAGCCCATAA